TTATTTTTTGAGGAGGCAATAGCGGTGCTGTTAACAGATTCAAAGGAAGTGGTGTCCTGACCAGTCACAAGCTTGCAATCTCCAAAAATTTCGACAGATAGTTAAAAACGTTGGCCATGTCTCCATCACCCTCTGTGAGCCTGTCGGAGAGCCCTTGGTTGAACGCATAGTGGCGTTGCGTACCGACGAAGTATAAATTAGGCTGTAGTCACAGGGCTGTTTGGTATCTGGGTGAGTGCCATACTGAATGTGGATTACGGAAAGCTAAGGAAAGAGTTGTCTCAGGAGTCTCGAAAGACTATTGATGAGCATGTTAAAGCCTAGAAGACTGTCAGTAAGTATTTTGATCATGATGTATTTTTCCTCAACTGAAAAGTTTCTGGGAAAACAAAATTGTGGAAAAACGAGTGATATTCTAGGTACTTGGTCTGGAACTGAGATGGAACAAACTGATTTCTGTCTCACAAATATGAACTGTAGTGATCTTTTTTTTTTTATTACTCACTAGGGCTGTCGCAGTAACCGCAAAAATGAAATATCGCAATATGAAGAAACCCACCGCGCTGCATCATGGGCCACCACGATTACTGAACTTGATTCAACTCAATGATGCATGTTGAGAAGGATGGCTGCACTGGTATCAAAACGAAACGTCACTTCGCTCCTTTGGGAGCACTTTGGTTTTCAGTCCGTCAGCTGCTGCGCAGCCAGAGTCCTTGGCCGAGACAGAGCTGCCACCAGCGGCAAATAAATAAATAAATAAATGCTCGGAGACCTGCTGAAGTCCCGGACAAGCACTGCTTCTGCAACCGTCCCGAAGAGAGTTTGAGCCGAGCTGGAGCTCACTCGCTACCTGCAGGAGGAATGCATCCACCCTAAAGAAACCCCCGTGACATGGTGGAGCAACAACCGGGAGAGATTCCCTTTGCTCGCCAGAGTCGCACGCAAGTACGTGTGCGTTAGTGCAACGAGCGCACCATCCGAGAGGGTTTTCAGTGTTGCTGGAAATGTTGCCACCCCTCTCAGATCCTCTCTCAAACCGTATACAGGTGCTGGCCAGTAAATTAGAATATCATCAAAAGGTTGAAAATATTTCAGTAATTCCATTCAAAACGTGAAACTTGTACATTATATTCATGCAATGCACACAGACCAATGTATTTCCAATGCTCATTACATTTAAATTTGATATTCATAAGTGACAACTAATGAAAACTCCAAATTTGGTATCTCAAAAAATTAGAATATTCTGAAAAGGCTGAATATAGAAGACACCTGCATCCACTCTAATCAGCTGATTTACTCAAAACACCTGCAAAGGCCTTTAAAAGGTCCCTCAGTCTTGTTTTGAAGGCACCACAATCATGGGAAAGACTTCTGACTTAACAGCTGTCCAAAAGACAATCATTGACACCTTGCACAAGGAGGGCAATACACAAAAGGTGATTGCTAAAGAAGCTGGCTGTTCGCAGAGCTCTGTGTCCAAGCACATTAACAGACAGGCGAAGGGACGGAAAAAATGTGGTAGAAAAAAGTGTACAAGCTCTAGGGATAACCGCACCCTGCAGAGAATTGTGACGACAAACCCATTCAAAAATGTGGGGGAGATCCACAAAGAGTGGACTGCAGCTGGAGTCAGCGCTTCAAGAACCACCACGAGGAGACTCATGAAAGACATGGGATTCAGGTGTCGCATTCCGTGTGTCAAGCCACTCTTGAACAAGAAACAGCGCAAGAAGCGTCTCGCCTGGGCCAAGGACAAAAAGGACTGGACTGATGCTGAGTGGTCCAAAGTTATGTTTTCTGATGAAAGCAAGTTCTGCATTTCCTTTGGAAATCAAGGACCCAGAGTCTGGAGGAAGAGCGGAGAAGCACAGAATCCACGTTGCATGAGGTCCAGTGTAAAGTTTCCACCGTCAGTGATGGTGTGGGGTGCCATGTCATCTGCCGGTGTTGGCCCACTCTGTTTCCTGAGGTCCAGGGTCAATGCAGCCGTCTACCAGGAAGTTTTAGAGCACTTCATGCTTCCTGCTGCTGACCAACTTTATGGGGATGCAGACTTCACCTTTCAACAGGACTTGGCACCTGCACACAGTGCCAAAACCACCAGCACCTGGTTCAAGGACCATGGTATCCCTGTCCTTGATTGAATAGAATAGAATAGAATAGAATAGAATAGAATAATCCTTTAATAGTCCCACAAGGGGAAATTTGGTTGTGTCAGCAGCAACATCACACATATACAAACAATGCAGGACACAGAACAGAAGCACAGTTATTACCTATTTACATCATGGACAATAGTTACCAGAGCAGAGTACAATACAGTTGTTTATATAGGCGCACACATATTGTGTAAGCATAGCAGGATACTGAAGATGTTAAAATAGTTTTAAAAGTTTAAGATGATTAAAAGAGTGCAGATTGTTTATTTTTTACCCATTCATTAAAAAGTAGACATGTAGCCTTCAATAAATTATTGCATGTATAAGCTGAGAAAAAGTAATGTGTAAGTTATAATTGTAGAAGTTATTACAGCACTGATGCCGACAACTGTTTTGTTTGGGAGCAGTTCTGATTGTACAGTCTAACAGCTGCAGGGAGGAAGGACCTTCGGAAACGCTCCTTCATGCATCTAGGATGCAGCAGTCTGTCACTAAAGGAGCTCTGCAGTTCAGCAACATTTACATGCATGGGGTGGGAGACTCTGTCCATCAGAGATGTTATTTTGGCCAGAGACCTTCTGTCTCCCACCACCTGCACTGGGTCTAGGGTGCATCCTAGAACAGAGCTGGCCTTCCTGATGAGTTTATCCAACCTCTTCCTCTCAGCTGCCAATAAACTGCTGCTCCAACATACCACACTGTAAAAAATGACAGATGCTACCACAGAGTCATAGAAGCTCTTTAAAAGCGCTCCCTGTACCCCAAATGACCTCAGCCGCCTCAGCAGGTAGAGTCTGCTCTGACCCTTCCTATAAAGAGCATCCGTGTTGTGGCTCCAGTCCAGTTTATTATTCAGGTGAACACCCAGGTACCTATAAGAGTCCACTATCTCAATGCCCACTCCCTGGATGTTCACCGGTGTCACTGTGGTGGGTCTGCGTCTCCTGAAATCCACCACCAACTCCTTGGTTTTCCCGGCGTTGATCAGCAGATGGTTCTGCTGACACCAGTCCACAAAGTCCAGAGTCCCCTGTCTGTACTCTGAGTCATCCTCACCTGTGATGAGGCCAACTATGGCAGAGTCGTCAGAGAACTTCTGTAGGTGGCAGCGTGGGGAGCTGATGGAGAAGTCAGCAGTGTAGAGGGTGAAAAGGAACGGTGCCAGCACAGTTCCCTGTGGGGCCCCCGTACTGCAGACCAGCGTGTCAGAGACACAGCCCTGTGACCTCACATACTGTGGTCGTTCTGTGAGGTAGTCCAGTATCCACTGAGACATGTGGTGGTCCACTCCCGATAGCTCCAACTTATCTTTCAGAAGTCGTGGTTGGATGGTGTTGAAAGCACTGGAGAAATCAAAAAACATGATCCTCACAGTGCTTCCAGGCTTCTCCAGGTGAGTCAGAGCTCGGTGCAGAAGGTAGATGATTGGCCAGCAAACTCGCCTGACCTTAACCCCATAGAAAATCTATGGGGTATTGTGAAGCGGAGGATGCAATACGCTAGACCCAACAATGCAGAGGAGCTGAAGACGACTATCAGAGCAACCTGGGCTCTCATAACACCTGAGCAGTGCCACAGACTGATCGAGTCCATGCCACGCCGCATTACTGCAGTTATTGAGGCAAAAGGAGCCCCGACTAAGTATTGAGTGCTATACATGCACATTCTTTTCATGTTCATTCTTTTCAGTTGGCCAACATTAGAGAAACAAACATTTTTTCATTGGCCTTTAGAATATTCTAATTTTCTGAGATACCAGATTTGATGTTTTCATTGGTTGTCACCTATAAATATCAAAATTAAACGTAATAAACATCGGAAATACATTGGTCTGTGTGCATTGCATGAATATAATGTACAAGTTTCACGTTTTGAATGGAATTACTGAAATATTTTCAACCTTTTGATGATATTCTAATTTACTGGCCAGCACCTGTATGGTTAACATGCTTGGTTTTCCTTGTGGGTAACAAGGACGTGACCGAGCTATAAATCACCGTCATTCGTGTGTGTGAAAGTGAAATGATAGTGCCCCGCGCCCGGTACATGTAATTTTTTATGCTTGATTTTAAACAACTAAACAAAATGGGGACTTGTTTCTTATTTGTTAGATCCTGCAGCCAAATTTGCATTTAAAAGTTTAACCTTCTCCTGAATTTTGTTGTTTTTAAGTTCAGTCGGACTCCGACTGTCGGAGAAACAAACGTTACTGTGATCTGTGTTGTTACTGCCCTTTGATCTGCATTCAGTAAAGTGATTTTTAACCTTTTTTAAATGTGTAAACATTATGTTTAGATAGTACTGCAATAAAAAAAAGTGCTGCAATAATATCGCACACCGCAATATTAAGCCACCCTGGATCACCGCAGGGGGAATTCTTCAACCGCGACAGCCCTATTACTCACTATAATGCGTTACTGCTGCAGGACCAACCAGACTACCTCATTGGTTGAATCCAGCCACATTTAAATGACTGTAGCTGATAACATTATTTAGGCGCATTCAGGCATTGGTTAGCATTTTGTTATCTAATACACCTGTGAGCAGTTGTGTTGAAATTCAATCTATTAAAATGTAAGCTTCAATGATTCAGGTATTTCATTTTATTAATAGAAAATGCAAAAATCACCATAAAGTAAATTTCATTGAACCTGAGTTGGTTGAGACAAAATTCCTCTTCCTGATTTTTACTTTCTCATGTCCACATAAACCTTTTAAAGCATTTTAGCTTACAATTACTGGTTGTTTTTAAACAAAGGAGAGGGATTCACAATCATCTTTTGGCTAATGGTTTGTATTTTAGCAGTTCTTCAGGATCTTCTTCCCCTCTTTCAGAAAGAACAGGAAATGAGAGTGGGTGAGCTGAGTCCTCGTGGAGCCGTTAATATAGGAGGTACGGGTCTGATTGTGTAGGTGGAATATTCACATGTATCAGTTTTGTCTTGAAATTCTGTTTTTGATAACCCTATTTGGTGTAAATGGGAATCACAAATGATGCAATGTTTTAAAGTGCACCAATTGTTATTATTCCATCATATTAATCACAGAATGTAACCCAGGATTGCACATCACCCAGGTAAAGGTATCCACTATCTATATTTTTGACAGACTCCTAAAATGTGTGGTAACTTTACCTGAATTAAAAATGTTGGTACTTCATAATAGAGGAATGGTATGGTGAATGTAAAGCCAGGCTAGAAATTATTTGACCTAAAAAGAATATTATCATGGAAATTTTTCCTAAAGGGGACCTTTAACCTTTTTCCATGGCCTCATATTTTACTGTTCAAACTTTGTTCCTGGTCATTTTGTTTTTGGCTGTTAACCACTGCAGTATTCATGGTAGTAGGCCTGGGCGATAAATCGATTTAATTAATTAATTCGAATTTTTTGTTCAAGTCAAAGTCAAAGTCAGTTTAATTGTCACTTCTGCCACATGTACAGGACATACAGAGAAATGAAATTACGTTACTCTCAAACTCTCGCTAGATAGAAAATAAAAATTTAGTATAAAAACAGTAACCAAGTTCAGAGAGACTGTGGGGGAAAAGAGAGGAGAGGTGGGAGAGCCGGGAGGGAGTTTAGCTTTCTAACTGCCTGATGGATAAAGCTGTCCTTCAGTCTGTTGGTCCTGGCCTTGAGACTCCGCAGTCTCCTCCCTGACGGCAGCAGCTCGAAGAGGCTTTGCGTTGGGTGAGTGGGATCAGCCGCAATGCGAAGGGCCTTTTTTGTGAGGTGGGCGCTGTAAATGTCTGGTAGGGAGGGGAGAGAGACCCCAATGATCTTCTCTGCTGCTTTCAGTATACGTTGGAGGGTTTTAATGCAGGAAATGTTGCAGGCTCCGAACCACACAGTGATGCCGCACGACAGGATGCTCTCGATGGTGCCTCTGTAGAAAGTGTACAGGATGGGGGCTGGTGCTCTTGCTCTTCTTAGTTTGCGGAGGAAGAAGAGACGCTGCTGTGATTTCCTCGCCAATGCTGTGGTGTTGTTCATCCAGGAGAGATCCTCTGTAATGTGCACACCCAGGAACTTGGTGCTGCTCACTCTCTCCACAGACACACCGTTGATGGTCAGAGGAGCATGCTGAGTGTGTGCTCTCCTGAAGTCCACAACAATCTCCTTGGTCTTGTTGCGGGTGATTAAAAAAAAAAAGTAAATCGAATTTTTATGTAATAGCGCCTTTTTGGCCCCCCGGAGCTTCCGTAGCGTTAGTTTCACATAACTGCGACGACAACACCACAGCGCTCGCACACACACGAAACGGTAACAGCAAGCAATTCCATGGCCACCTGTTAGAGTGGAAAGTTTGTTCCGAAGAAAGGAATTAAATCCGCCGTTGTTTGGAACTGGTTTGGGTTTGCTGTAACGGATGTAGAGCGTGGCACTTTTATTCCAAGAGAGTGTTCATTTATTCGTTGTTCATCTCAGAAATGAGTAATACAATTGTCTTGCTTGTGATTAAATAAAAAACTACCGTACGTAGGCTTTAAGGTGCCTTCCATTTGTATTAATTGCTATTCTTAATAATTGAGGGGGAGAGAGAATCGGGAAAAAATCGTTAATCGAATTGAAAAAAATTAAATTGGAGATTTTCTTTTTAGGCCGTATCGCCCAGCCCTACATAGTAGGCCATAGTTTAAAGACTCTTAAAAGCATCACATCATTTGTAAAAAGATGGAATAAGACTTCAAGGTTCCCAAGCAAGATATCTTCATTTCCTCAACTACATTTTAGCTCCTTCTTTGGTTATACCAGGAACCAGATAGCCTGAGAAATAGACACTTCATACTCTTTCAGCACCCTCCTCAAAATTCCTTAGGGGACATGTTTCTTCAGCCTTGTAAAACGTAGAAAACATTTAACAGTACGTCTGCAGTGGTACACTGTACTACAGACTGAACAACAGTCCGTTTGCTTATCTTGAATCAAAAATTCAACCAAGCAAAATAAATTCCAGTCCTCTATACAGCATGAAAAAATCAGGTCAACCACAACACCCATACACCCTTACACATGCAAGTAGCTGTGCCAAGCACCATTAAATCTGGCCACTGGTTGGAAATAGGGCTGCTCGATTATGGCAAAGATGATAATCTCGATTATTTTGACGGAAATTGCGATCTTGATTATTTAAGATGATTTGATTCAATAACGTTGATTGTATGAAAAAAATGTGTTCATAAAATAGCACAGGGCACAATCAAGACAAAAATAAATAAGAAAGAAACAAGATAGTCACTAAACATCTCTTGATTTCTAGTGTAAAAAGGCCAATACACGTGATCATAGTTTGTGGCCCAAAGGGATTAAGCCGAGGTTTAGCTTACCCAATACAGACTCATGTTCTGCTTTTTTCTCCTTGTGTCGCTTGTTCAGAGTATAACAGAACAACACAGATTGTTTTTGTTTCGTAGAGAGGATGTCCAAAAGGTAGAAATCATGTTGCATAATGAATTTAGCTAAAACATTTTTAATTACATGCATTCCTTTTAACTTATTTCTTAGTAAACGACTTTATGCTAAATCAACTTGTCGAATCAGTTTTAAGCCAAATAGTCTCAACAGTTAATTTTTGATGCAGATAAAACAAGGGTAAGATTAATTCCTCAAACGGATTGATAGTTTAGTGTGCCAACACCAAAATGTCTGGCCTGCATTGGCCCTGTTTACAAAACTCATTCAAGTAAGACCAAAGATGCCTTGTGGCTGTCTCTGGGTGATATCTGAAAAGACAGAGGCAAAGATGTTAACATCATCACTCTGTGGCATGGAAGGCTCAATTTAATGATTTATGAACAGAAAGAAGCAGCTTAAAGAAACCCTTGTATTTGCAGCCACATCATTGAACTGCTTTGTGAATGAGGCTAGTGATACAATCAAGTATTGTGTTAGTTACCTTGTGCTCAGTCCACTGACTTAAGTCTTACAGATATTGTCGTGTTCTTATCTTGGAATGTGTTAGGTCTTGTTGTCCTAGGTAAACTTCTCAACCTTACATTTGCATTTAACACAAGGTTAAAACTGATTTTAACATAGTTATTCTATGGGTTTATCCATAAACTTATGAAAACTCAAATGTTCAGTTCCATTCATATCAATGCCGATATGAATTTTGTCCATTGTTTAATCACGATTGTTGATCTCTACCCCTAACCTGTTACGGATAAAACAACTCTTGAACTCTTCTTTTCTGTATTCTGTTATGGTGATGTGCAATCCAGCGGTTTGTTAGTAGAAGGATGTTGACGTTGTAACATGAGCTCAAGGCTTTTTAAATGTTCTTTTCACATTGCTTCTTAAGTCCTACTGTATGATGCAATATTACAAAGGTTTTTAATGTAACACTGGGTTTTGATTGTTGGTAGCTTACACACAGTGGTTAATAGTGATGTTGGATTGTATAACAGTCTAAGCATAAAGGTTTTAGTATTGCTGCTGTTAAAAGCAGAGTTTTATAATAATTACCCTGTGTCACCGTACCACACTACTGTCAGGTATACATCTGTATACACTCACCTAAAGGATTATTAGGAAGTAGGAACACCTGTTCAACTTCTACTTAATGCAATTATCTAATCAACCAATCCTATTGCAGTAGCTTCAATGCATTTAGGGGTGTGGTCCTGGTCAAGACAATCTCCTGAACTCCAAACTGAATGTCAGAATGGGAAAGAAAAGTGATTTAAGCAATTTTGAGCGTCATGGTTGTTGGTGCCAGACAAACCCGTCTGAGTATTTCACAGTCTGCTCAGTTACCGGGATTTTCACACACAACCATTTCTAGGGTTTACAAAGAATGGTGTGAAAAGGGAAAAACATCCAGTATGCGGCAGTCCTGTGGGGGAAAATGCCTTGTTGATGCTAGAGGTCAGAGGAGAATGGGCCGACTGATTCAAGCTGATAGAAGAGCAGCTTTGACTGAAATAACCACTCGTTACAACCGAGGAAGGCAGCAAAGCATTTGTGAAGCCACAACACGCACAACCTTGAGGCGGATGGGCTTCAACAGCAGAAGACCCCTCCGGGTACCACTTATCTCCACTACAAATAGGAAAAAGAGGCTACAATTTGCATGAGCTCACAAAACTGGACAGTTGAAGACTGGAAAATGTTGCCTGGTCTGATGAGTCTGGATTTCTGTTGAGACATTCAAATGGTAGAGTTAGAATTTGGCGTAAACAGAACGAGAACATGGATCCATCAAGCCTTGTTACCACTGTGCAGGCTGGTGGTGGTGGTGTCATGGTGTGGGGTATGTTTTCTTGGCACACTTTAGGCCCCTTAGTGCCAACTGGACATCATTTAAATGCCACGGGCTACGTGAGCATTGTTTCTGACCATGTCCATCCCTTCATGTCCACCATGTACCCATCCTCTGATGGCTACTTCCAGCAGGATAATGCACCATGTCCTAAAGCTCCAATCATTTCAAATTGGTTTCTTGAACATGACAATGAGTTCACTGTACTACAACGGTCCCCACAGTCACCAGATCACCCGATAGAGCATCTTTGGGACGTGGTGGAACAGAAGCTTCGTGCCCTGGATGTGTATCCCACAAATCTCCATCAACTGCAAGATGCTATCCTATCAATATGGGCCAACATATCTAAAGAATGCTTTCAGCACCTTGTTGAATCAACGCCACGCAGACTTAAGGCAGTTCTGAAGGCAAAAGGGTGTCAAACACTATATTAGTATGGTGTTCCTAATAATCCTTTAGGTGAGTGTACATATATGTTGTAGGCTATGCATAATTAAGATTTCAGCATTAATATGCAACTTTGATCGACATTAATTTGGTAAAACATCTCATCTTATTTTGACATAAAGCAAACATTGACTTTTAGTACCCTGTAAAAATAGCCATACCAACTAGCTACCATTGAGTCCTTTATTAAAATTGGATTACCAAATATCAACTAATGATTTGTTGCTTTGCGTTTAGATGGCTATAGTCAGACCTCTGCAGGGCCCAGTGTTAACCAAGGTCAAATGATGGGCATAAGTGGAAGGGGAGGTGCCATTGGCCCAGAGGGAACACCAAATTTGGGAACACCACTGATGTCAGAGAATGGAGCCATGGTAATGTATCTGGAATAACCCGACTCATTTATCTGGTCAAACAAGTAAAATAAGTTTTACAGATTGACACATTTTATTTAAATTTAAAAAAGGCTAACTGGGAGTAAGCACTTAAACACATCTCCATTAACTTGAAATAAATTAGCATTTTGTAAGAAGTTAGAGAAAAGTACATGTTTAAATTGTACTTAACTAACTGGTATTTTTTTCTTCCTCCTTGTCTATGTGGTTCACATCTTTCTTTCGCCCTTGGATGGGGACAATCGGATCAAACTCAACGCTGACCCAATCTTTGAAAACCATAACTCCACTGTCTTCCAAAACTACCCTGGAAATAATTTTTCCTTTCACACATCTTCAAATATACCTCCATCGCCTACCAACAACCTCTTACTTCAACGTGCTAAACCCAATGTTGACCTCAGCGAAATGATAGGTACCCTCAGAGTGGAGCGATTGGGGGTCAACCAGAGGTTGAATCGCCAAAGCCGCATCAGCAGGCATTGGGGGCCCAGGTTGGACCAAACCCAGGATTTGGCAGGGGCAGTCCAGTCGGGGGAGTGTTTGATGGCCCAAACAGCAAGCGCCGCAGATACTGACTTCTCACATGGATGTACTGCCATTACCATTACCTCCTCTGGTGTTACTTTAAATCACCTGTTTACCCACTCCTTCATGTTGGATGACAAAATCCTGAAAAGATTTGGTCATTTAGTGGGAAAATTTGTTTAGGTTGATTAAAAAACTTCACAGATGATATCTAATTTCCCTGTTTTGCTAGGACGTTTTTTGAATTAAACTGTTTTATGTGTGTGTGTGTGTGTGTGTGTGTGCAACATTTTCTATGAACCCCAGGAGAGCTCTTTGTGGGTAACTGTACAGCTGCTGGTATGTTATGGTCTTCGTCAGAAGGAGAGAATGATTGAAAAACGAGGTTAGCTTTCAGAAGGAATGTTATTGTACCATTATGAATATTGAACTTTTCTGTTCTAAATTAAATAGCTAATAGATTTGTAATATTAGAATATTAAAGATAACAGTTACATGTAAGGTTTACAGGCTTCTTAAAGCTAACTGTAATGGTAGCTGCTCAGCTTGACCTGTTTGACTCAAATAACAAGATGTTACTAAATGAACACTTGGACTAGTTGGTTTTGTAATAGAAAGACCTTTTTATATGATGTGCATGATCCTGATAACATTCATTTCTGAGGTATTTTGTTTCATTTTATATTGTATTATTTAACTGTTTTTCACTACTCAGTGGATGAACTTGTTTGACAAATTAAAATATTTAGTTTTTCCTACCAAATAAAAATATATCACAGTTAATAACAAAACTTACCATATTTTTGGGTACTGGAATATTGGCTTTAATGATGTTGCCAATGGTCACTACTGTCTGAAAACGTATCTAATTCTTTAAAAATAAAGGTAATAACAGCTTTTATGTTTGATTGCGATTGACCTTCTCCCTTCTTTCTCCCGTTCACCAAATGTTTTGTTAGATGGTCAGATTTCCCCCGTCGTTTCAGTGCATCTTGTATTTAAAGTTCAGGCAAAATTTTGTTTCTTGGTGATTTAAGATTAATCCATTTCTCTACATATGTGAAAGAAAATAAAGTGAATCTGATGCCTTTACAACTTTCTTTATTTTTGGATCTTCCATTGCTCTCAAGATGGTTCAGACTTCAATTCTTCTATGTTTTGGGCCATTCCCATCTGTACCAGGTTGGCCCGGGCCGGGTAGTGTAGGTTGTTTACATATCTGGGTGGCCTGGTATTTTTCCGGGCCAACCAAGGCTCATTCTCAGCCCTCTTCTCAAGGGGGTCTGCTTCAGGCCGACCAGGGCCAACACACCCACTGCTGACAACAAATTCACACCTTCCATTAGAGCAAGCCTCTGATTGGTGGGTAGAATCAGCCCACATGGGCTTAAGGCAAGGATGTGTGGAATCAACCGGGCCAGGCTGGGGCCGACGGGGGCTACCCGGCACGGGCCGACCCGGTACAGATGGGAATGGCCCATTAGTGAATTACTGACACAATTACTCTAATCATGTTTCAGTTCTACTTGAAATGACAATTTCAAATCATTACTTTTGTGCCAAAAGAACAATTATGATAAATGGCCTGTATTTGATATAGCGCCTTCTAGAGTCCCGGAACCCCCCCAAGGCGCTTTACAACACAATCAGTCATTCACAAGCTTGTGGGAATGTTTGCGTTTATTTATTTGGCAGAGGCTTATAGGGCATGTTGTGATCTGTGGGCTAAACCGGAGTACCCAGAGGAAACCCACGCATGCATGGGGACAACATCCACCTCCATGCAGAAAGACCGCAGGTTTCGAACCTTCAACCTTCTTGCTGCGAGGCAACAGTGCTAACATCTGCGCCACCATGCAGTCCCCATGATAAGCTACGATGTAGCCACAGCTGTCCTGGGGCGCACTTGACGGAGGCGAGGCTGCCGAGCGCTGGCGCCACCGATCCCTCCGACCACCACCAGCAGGCAAGGCAGGTTAAGTGTTTTGCCCAAGGACACAATGACAGCAACAACTGAGCTTCACTCGAACCTGCAACCTTCCAATTACAGGGCGGGCACTTCTGTGCCTCCATTAACCAGAATTATATAAAAGAAAACTAAAACATCAGTCATTTTGGTTTTATATGACGTACTACTATTGCCCTGCGATGGACTGGCTCTCTGTCCAGGGTGTACCCCGCCTACTTGCCCGTTGACTGCTGGAGATAGGCACCTGCGACCCTGCGTGGACAAAGCGGGTTCAGAAGATGGATGGATGGATGACGTACTACTAGAGCCAGTATTAAACCAAAGCTCTTTTCAGATAATTCTATGAAAGTTTTATTTTGGTTTCAAAACGTGATCCTGGGATCACAAAACTATCTATTAGCTCTACACATTAAATGTTTCTCACAATCTTATGACTATGTCAAAACTTTGATAATTACCCAAGGCCAAGAACCCCCAAAGCACCTTACTACAGTAATTCTTCCACACACTCATTCACACACTGGCGGTGATGAGGCACATTGTTGCCACAGCTGCCCTGGGGCTAACTGACAGAAGACTGTAGCATGTGTCTTCCAACTTCGTGCTGTAGTTTGAAGTCTCATGGAGTTTGGTGCTTTTTTAACCAATCACAAGTTTGAGGAGCCTTCTAGCTAACTGTGATCTTTGAAAGCATTGATGCTTCAATGGAGATTTGATGACAGTCTACCAAGTTGACAAGTGAAGTAGCACCTGCACCAACATTTGACATTAAACAATGCGCTGAATTTGTGGCTTGATGAGCAACAAATCTACTCCGAGCCCCTCCTGGATGACCAAGCTTCTCACCTTATCTCTAAGGGAGAGCCCAGCCACCCTTCAGAGAAACCTCATTTCAGTCGCTTGTATCTGCGATCTTGTTCTTTCAGTCACTTTTCAAAGTTCATGACCATAGATGAGGGTAGGAACGTAGATCGACCGGTACATTACCCGCAATACTGTAGACGAAGCACCAATCCGCTTATCGATCTCAAGCTCCATTTTTCCCTCACTTGTGAACAAGACCCCGAGATACTTAGACTCCTCCAATTGAGGCAAGACCTCGTCCCTGACCTGGAGAAGGCATTCTACCCTTTTCAAATCAAGACCATGGTCTCAGATTTAGATGAGCTGATTTGTGTATATGTGTCTAAAATATAGATGTTTTTGCATCAGTACATCTGATTTCAAACAGTGGTTTATTAACAGGCTTCTGCAGAGCTCAATGACCTGCTGAAGAGGTAATTCAAGCATTGACTCAGGCTTTTGGGCGCAGGGACACAACTAGAACATGCTGGATAGTGGCTCTTGAGGACCAGAGTTGAATAGCCCTGCTTTAGATAATTAAGAAGGTAAGACAGTTTCTTGTGTTATTCAGTATTCGCCTGAATAAAGATGCTTTTACAAAACCTGCATTGCTCTCGCCTCCAAATTGATGGATTTTTCATGAACAATGTTTTGTTTTTCCTCAAATTTGAACCAATAAAGACAGATCCGTGATCTCATTCAACAAGCGAACATTTTATTTTCTGTCTTTCTGTTTGCCAGTAAACAATTTCACAACATGGAGCTGTTAATAACACACTGAGGCCTTTGAACTGTTTTAAATGCCTCTTGGGTCAAGTGGATGCTTCAACGGAAGTGTGTTTGAGGCAGTGACGTTGGGAGAGGTCGACTTACTTTTCTTTGCTGTGCCCAAGGCTGTTCATTATCAACAGGAGGGAAGGTAATCATTGACACGATCCAATTTTAACATGGCTGATTGTGGCTGATCTGGGGAATGAATACTCTGTTCTTCACTTTGTGGCCTTGTTCTGCATTAGCCCATTTTCTGGCCCATTTCTGTTTATGAGAGACAATTGATTTTAGGAATAATCGTCAGTTTAGCGTTTGATAATGTCCCACTTCCTCTCTTTCGCCTTTTCCCTTCGGGGGTTGCCGCAGCAAATGATCTGTCTCCATTTAGCCCCTCCCATTTGATAATGTCCCACATCAGTACACAATGAACCTCATTTCTTTTCACTTCTATCTTTTTGTCAAATAATTGAGATTCATTGAAATTTTCTACACATTTTTGCCCATTTAGCTCTTGTCTTCGTAGTCCAGGGGTTGGGAACCCTGGTTCTAGAGAGCCACTATCCAGCATGTTTTAGTTGTTTTCCTCTTCAACACAGTTGAGTCACCTGTTCAGCAGCTCATCAGGCTCTGCAGAAGCCTGTTAATCATCTGGTGATTAAAACCAGGCCCGTTTAAGCAGGGAAACCTATAAAACGTGCCTCTAGAACAAAAATTATAACTCCACAGATGAGACCAAAACCAAAGCAAACAACAAGGAACAAAGACAGGCCTCTACCCTCTCCACCCCCACCCTCTTTCTCTCTCCATTTACCTATACATAAATCCTCAAACACAGGAACCCACATTCATATACCCCTCCTCTGTAAAGTGTACATTTTCAGTGATTAGATCTCTTCCTTGAATGAACTTTATCCTTAACAATTCCGGCAAAGCAGTATTTTTACCAGAATTTTATGTCTGAGTTCACACACAAAAAACTACAACCTGTCTTTACCTGCATCACCCATGTCCTAACCCAGTGGTCGGCAACCTGTTCCCATCAAAGAGCCGTTATTACCCGTTTCCCACAGTAAAGAAAACACTTGGAGCCACAGCAGCTGCGGCGTTGTGGGCGGGGCCTACCCTCAGACAGCAGAGAGCTCTTTAACCAATCACAACAGGTGACAGCAGCCAGTACCGGTCGCTCGTGTACGTCAAAGTTCTCTTACATAAGACGATAATCAATAAAACGATTTATATAAAATGGATCCAGAAGTTGTAGCCCGTCTCTGCCTACAATATTTTGATATTTTTCACCCTGTTGGTGGTTTTACTGAGCAGGTGCCACTTTTGTCATACGTTTCTTTTTAAAACATGTTTAGACTGTTCAGAATACAAATCCAGGCTCTGTCACGTTTGAATGTTGTAATTAAACTTTGTAGGTGGGGAAGGTCAGAAAAGGATCCGATCATTTTGTTTTTCCCTCATTTACAGTGACGGAGATAACGGCGCAGTGCGCCTGGCTCTGGTGTTAATCAAGTTTAATTTGATCTCTTTGCAACAATTTTCACAAGAAAACAGAACAGTTAAAGCAGGGCTTGTGTTGACCGGACAGTTCCCGTATTTGACCGTTTATTTTGACGGAGAAAGAATAGAAAGAATTACCCCGACGCATGCAGATGAACTGACATTTTATTCGTTTCGCACATCGCAGATGTAGCTAAATCACTCAAGAAATGATTCCCATCTGAACATCTGAGCTGGACACTGCTCAGCGCAGCTCGCTGTCAGCGTGTACGTAAGGTGCACAGCGATCTGAAGATGTGGAGATTGGCTTGGAGTGCGTTGCAGAACCAGAGCGCATGCGGGAAGATTCCTCCGTCTGAAGCGAGCGTTTTCCAAACCCTGTCTTTGAGAGAGACTTGTCACTTAGCAAATGTTCCCTGATTATGAAACTTTGGCTGAATAACGCTTGTTCCTGTCTCCAATGTGGCGACACATCCAGGAGCCGTCTTGAGGAGAAGCCCAGAATCTCACATCCTCTTCAGCTCAGAATGCGCCGATTACGCACAAGCGTGACCCAACCCGGTCTCACAGTAAGACCGGGTTGGACCTGTTCAGGTTTACGCAGACAATCTTTACATTTAGAATTGATTTACAGATATAAAATTAATTCAGTAAAATATAAAGCATTTTATTTAAATATCCATTCATTATTTTACAAGCACAGAGAGCCGCATCAGATGGATGGAAGAGCCGCGGGTTGTCGACCCCTGTCCTAACCTTATACACACCTTGCTCAGTAGGTTGTTTATTATGGGTAGAAAAAAAGTCTCAAAAGATCTGTGTGTGTATCTAAATGTGTGTGTGAATATCTAGTGCGTAACTAAAGATTGTGTGTGTGTGTGTGTGTGTATCTTGATTTGTAACTTGTGTTTTTTTTGTGTGTAACTTCAGCTCCACATACAAATCATTGAATACACACATATCACCTGGTACACACGGACAAAACTATGTTACACACAGA